AAAAAATAAATCATTTTGCTAAGGAGAGGACTTCTGACTGTTGTATTTCTGCTATTTCTGGCATTAGAGCCGCTACTGAATGTGGAGGAAGCAGTTTACTTTGTCTGCGAGCTCACTCGCTCCCAAGGCCTTCTACATGTGAGCAAAGCCAGGTTCTTCCCCCGTCTCTGGAGGATTTTTCTCTCTAATCCAGGGAAAGCTGCAGTTTTTCAACAATAGCTGTTCTCCACTCCGTGGCCCCTCTCACATGTCTGCAGCTCACTGCGAAAGCCAAGAGGTGATCTGCGGGCGTTTGGCCGGGGTGATTTTGCTCTGTTGCCATTTTGAGCCTGTGCCACCGAGCAGCTGAGCCCAAGGCAGCGCGTCCCACCTTAGGGCTCTGTGAGCAATCCTATAGCAACAGCAAACAAATACAGTGGGGGAATTCCCCTTTGCTGAGAAGCCCTGCTGAAACAACATGGGAAACAACACGAGGGGAGTACGTAGCTCGCTAAAAAATAGCTTCTAGCTGTTGGCAAGTATTTACTAGCATCTCCTCTGTGCACCGTAGTGGGACTTGCATGGATGCCTCTCTCCCAGAGCATGGCCCTCAAGCAAGAGGAAGCTGATCATTTCTTTCAGCTGCGTTGCTAACAGTCTCTAATAGCTGGCCATGGTTTGTAGTTGTTCCTTCTGAAGGCACAAAGTGGATAACAGCTGAAGTTCTTTGGCTTGGTCTTGGTTTTCTGTCAGGCTTCAGAGTTTCTTACCCCAAAGTAGCTGAGCATCAGCCGAAGGGACACCATGCCTGTCACAGCGTCCTCCTGCCCTTTCCTTTTGGCTGTTACTGTACTAACCAGATCCAGCTGCTGTTGACTCAGGAGACTGCCAGGCCATGCTTTTTTGTGGTTGGTTTTACCCTCCAGAGGTCATGGATTGATCTGTCTGTCTGTCTGTCTCAGCCACATACATCCCTGATGCCATCTTCCTCGGGAATTGATCTTTAAGGGATTCTTAAAAGTAACCAGACTGCTGAATAATCTGTCTTACATAAAAGAGGGCGAACATGAATTTGCTCAAATATTTCCTCCTCCCTCTTGTTAAGAATAGAAATGAGCACTTAAGGATATTTTATACCTTCTAAAGGAAATGCTGTTTCCTGTGGTCATAAATGTGAGCAGCTGCTAGTCCTCTTATTTTCCCCTGGTTGGCAAGGGCAGCAGCCTTTATCTCCTGCATCCAGGAAGGGATGCTGACCCCAGCTTGGCAAGGGCCAAAGTCAGCCCAAATCAAAGAGAAGCAAAGACTCGTTACGTACTTGGCAAGTGCTGGCAGGGGGCAGGGGCAGGGCTGGCAGAACGTGGGCACTCCTCTGACAACGTCACCGATGAAGCCATCCAGACATTGCTCGCAGTGCTGTCCTGTTGTGTTTCTCTGGCAGCCCTTCAGTGGAAAAAGAGAGAGTAGTGAAAGTTAAACGGAGGTGATGCCTAATGCAGAAAGAAATCATTTGGCTGAAGACTCGACCAGGCAGAACAGGGGCCGATGCCAGACCCCAAGCCTTCAAGGCATTGACAGATGCAGCCAAACCGGCTAGCACTGCTGCAAATAAAAGTGCTATAAATGGTGGCACTGCCCAGCCAGCAAGTGTTGGCAAGGCGCGGTACAGGACAAAACAGACGTATGTGCCTGCTGGGTGCAGAGGTGTCAGAGGTACCAAGGTGTAGCCAGCAGCCCTGTTTTGAATTGCAGGTGCCAGCAGGAAAAAAATCCCTTTTACTGACACCAAAGCAAAATGAAAAATATCTACTGGTAAATACTATCAACACGTCTCAGCCTAGACACAGGTTTCAGTGACTCTGCTTCTTGGACTTGATGACGGGAAAAGAGCATCGGGGGAATCTGCCTGCAAATAGTGGCTAGTACGCCAGTGGCTCTGATGTTTTTCTCCTGAGATGCAAAGTGTTAACAGCATGAAGCGACGTGTTATCACCACACCTTGTTCTCAGCCTCAAAGGAGGTCCATTTAATGGAGGTAAGAAGCAGGAGTCTTCTATAAGTGGTCTTTCTATAAGATACAGAGCAACTGTGCAAAAAGTCACTCACTTTATAAGCAAGTTTCATCTCCACGTTTTAATGTTTGTGAGGAAATACGCTTCCTCATGCAGAGGTAAATCGACCACCAGCTGATATTGTTGGGGCTCCATGGAGGTAAATCAAGCTGTGGTAATTCATATACAATATTTGTTCCAAAATATTTCGTGGTGCTATGTACAAATTTGTGCCTCTCAGATAAGGTTTTCAATCACCAAAAAAATCAAGGTTTGCTGTAAACAATTCTAAATAGAATTTGTAAGTCCTGCAAGCTTAAGTAAGCATTGTTATATCTTTTGGTTTACAAATGAACACACTTAGATGCCACAGGTTATGTGGGCTGTCCCCATGGCACATGGCAGGGCAGTGGTGACTGGTGCAGATTGCATGAACAGGGCTCCTGCACACTGGGGGCTCCTGCAGGCTCCTCTCCCCCTTTCCACTCCAGCAAAATACCCAGAAGTTGTCATCAAAAAGCCACAACCCTCCAAATTCTAGCTGCCTCCCTGAATTACTTTAAAGGAGTAGGAAGGGTGCAGAAGTGCTTTTCTCTCTTGCAACTGTGCAATGAGTTTTGCAATGTCCCTAAACCAGAACTCTCCAGTTACACCGCTTTGTACCAGTACAGTACAGATGCAAACAGCTTTGCAAGGCTTGAGGCAGCAAGGAGTCAGCTCTGTGGCAGAAATATGTGGAGAGCTACTCTCTCAGTGCATATTTGTTGTGGTTTTGGGTTAGCGTGCTTGATTCTTTCCTCTTCTGACCTACAACCAGTGGATCACGGAAACTGCAGACTGATGGATATGATTTCCATCCCTGGTAAGATGACAGCATCTATAATAAAGAAGAAGATCCCTGAGTACATGACTAAGCATCATCAGATTCAGGAGCTCGTGCTTCACTAACTTGCTGTATAACGGTGCAAAGAAGCAAGTGTATGAAGGGGAACCAGAGGGCATAACATAGCTGGACTTTCAGAAAAGCCAGTTAAGTTGTCAGGGGACTTGAAGAAAGTTCTTTTATGAACTGGAAGCTGATAAAGGCTAGGAAGCGAAGGGTAGGATGTAACCGTCACTTTTGGGACTGGGGGAGAGTCACTATTCGGATCATCTAGGCCTTGGTGCTGAGACCCGTTTTGTTCGGTATTCACCAGTGTCTTACAGAGACCAAAAATGCTAGGGCAGCTCGGCTGGGAGAGAAGGGCTGACAGGAGCGTGTGGTTGGGTTCTGTAAAATTACAATGTTGGTAAATAAGCTGAATGCAGGACAGTAGTTCACCCAAATCCTGCAATACAAGAGCTGAGGGGCATTGACTTGAAAAGGTGCTTCTCTACACAGAAGGTAAGAAACTTCTGCGACTTGCTGCCAGAAGATGACAGTATTTGCAGGGACACAAAGGGGTTTCCTACAGAAATTCATGGGCAACAGATTCAGAAATGGATATGAAAAGGACTCAGGAGGTATGTACCCTCTAACATACCCTAATGCAGCAATTGCGGATGCTGGTGGAGTACAAGCAGAAGCTTCAGAAAGGGGCCAGGCTAGGTGCCTTTCCCCAGCAGCATCTCCTGCTCCCACTGCTGGAGACCCAACGTGGGCTGCAGGGACCTTCGGCCGGGCCCCGCCGGGCACCCCTTGTGCTCCCTTCAGAGCTGGCGCAGGCTTTGGGAACTGGCAGCGGTGTGCCGGCTTATTCTCCAGCAGTCATGTATCCCACCCCAGCAGTCGCTGTGCTGTCCGCAGCCGGCAGTCCCTGAAGAGCAGGGAAGCAGCTGGGTGTGGGATCTGAGGAGCGCTGGCAGCAGGAGGGAGCTCCCCACTCCCACGAGGGACGCCTTGGCCTCTCTGCCCTCCGAACTTCTTCAGCAACGCTGGGTTGGGGCTGGCTGAGCTCACCTCAACGATTTTTCATCTGAGCCAATCCCTACAGATTTGGAAGTCACTTTCGACTCCAAACATGGCGTGTTCTTTGAAGAAAGGAGTATGAGGAGAGAGGAATGTGATTAGGGAAGACATTTAATAAAAACAAATAGTTAAGTTTCACTTGCACAGGCATTGCCAAATGAGTTTCATATCAGAGCATTATAAGTTTGATTAGTGGCAGAATTTTTTCCTGGCAAAACTGATATTTTGTTTTGTTTCATTTTTTTCCTGTGTCCAGATATCATCAATCTGCATTGAAAAGTGTCATTTTAGTAAAGGACACTCACCCTTGTGAAAAAACATCTGATGTTTTTTTAGCCGGTCTTCCTTATTTGAATCCCATTAAAGCTCCCCAGTTAGGACGCACTAGTTTAGCTCAGACCGCTTTTGATTCTAGAAGACTTTGCTTGTCTTGCTGCATGTTTTAGAGTCACACAGAACCCATTGCACAGCAACTATTTATTTCTGCAAGGCTGTGATTTGGCCAAGGAACTCTACAGCAAGTAGAACATGATAAGCAAAGGAAAAAAGTCAATTTCTTTACATGCATTAGTCATCAACAGTTGTAGAACTAAAGGTGGATTTTCATAGTAATATTTCCTGTAAAGAAAAGAGTATTTAGTATACAGAAAACCAGAAGGTTTTTTGAACTAAAAATCTCTGAAGTGAGAGAATACAGAAAACTTGACTAGGAGGAAGAGGAGGAGGAGGAGGGAAGAAGTTTGGTGAGAGCAGAGAAACTGGGAGCAGGTGAGGGCAGAGCGGCTGGCAGCCACCGGGGAGATGTCCAGACCTCGCGCTCCTCCCTGGCCAGGGTGCACTCACCGAGAGGCACACGGCGTGAGCCAGGAGGCACTGGAAGGCTGACATAGCTTTAAAAGTAGTTTGCATTTGTCATTATTCAATGAAAAAGTGATGTTAATGTACCACAAGAGAGAGACGAGGGCATGGGCACTGAGCGCTCAGGAGCAAGAGCAATCCTGGATCTGCAGCACCGGCGGATGCTCGGGTGGGCGGCATCGCCTCGTGGGCTGCCTTCCCTTGTAGCCTTCACCACACTCTTCGTTTGTGCTCTGAGCAATTCACTTCACCTCTCTTGTCCTCAGCTCTCCAAACAACACACGGGCATTACCGGAATAAACCTGTTACTGGTTTCCAAAGCTCAGATAGTATTGTGATGAACAGAACAGAGCACAGCAGCAAATGTTGCTCCTTAAATTTGAAGTGTTTTTCATCTTCCAAACTGAAGGGAAGTGCTAAAAGACCCTTTTACCCCTAAGGCCTTGTTAACTGAATGCTTCAGGCACTTTTGTAGTTTTTCTCTGGTTAGTGATTATGTAAAAGTGGCTTTATCTTGTTTAACAAGTCAGAACTCCTGTGGGTATTTAGAATCATATTTTTACAGTGATAAAAGAATGTCTTTATATTTTATGTTCCATTAGCTTGCATCTCCAATGAAATTGCCGACTGCAATAAGCCCGGGAGACCTCTCTGAAGGCAGGGAGGATGCCCGCCCTGTAGCTCGTGGGTGATTCTCAGCACCGGGTGGCACTGGCTTGGTAGTTTGAGAAAAGTGTTTTGCTTCTAAAGGAATCACTTTTGACGGAGGAAAAAAAAGAATTCCATTTATGGCGATTTTTGTGAAATTGGATTTTAAAGAAGTGCTTTGCTGTAAGGGTTGCAAGGGCTACTCTTGGTCTCGGTATTCATACACAATTTAGAATGAAAGGCGCTGTTTATGGTTATAAATTGGACTATGTATGGGATTGCTCATGGCCTTCGCTGTCTCAGTGGTTCATTCAAACGTACTCACAAAATTGTAGAAATATGTTTACTGCTATTGGTGTCTACTTTTTCAAATAAAGAAACTCATTACATAGTTTTTGGTTTGGTTTCCTTTGAAAAACAAGGAAGACTGAAATAAAAACCTCTAGAAAATATGCAGTGGTATGTACCTTAGGACATCAAACACTGAAGTTTAGCAGAAAATTTTTGCCTATCTTTGTACAGAACAGAGTGAGACATGGTAAAGGTCACAAAACCAGGTACAACCACACAGTTAGAAGTATCACAACTAGGCTTTAAAATTCTCAGCTTTTTGTAAAGTGTTACAAATTACAGTAAGTCAAAATTCTAAGCTCAATTCTTTCCATATGCCCATGTTAATACAACCTTTATTTTCACAAAGCAAAAGTCAAGGCAGAGGTGTCCCTTCCTCATGGACAATTCAACTTCAGAGGAAGTAATCCAATATAATAGCAGCCTGGCTTCTAAAAGCTCCTACATGAGGCTACAGCGTATAATCATCCATCCATTAGCACAGCGGCAGCAGCTTGTCAGATGGCCGGGAGGCGGGAGTGTATTTTCCTGTCTTAGAAAATGCCTTAGCTGGCCCTACTATTCTGCTGTCATTGAGTACCATCAAC